GGACATAATGGCATACCCCTGTAATTCCAGTACTTGTGGAGTCAACAAAATTAAGGTCAGCCTGGTCTATGTGAGACCTTGTCTCAAAAAAAAAAAAAAAAAAAAAAAAAAAAGGATGTGGATGCAGACAAAACATCAGAGGTACTGTGGCTTGATAGGAAATCTCAGGTGAGGTGCTTGGCATGCACAGAGCCTGGAGGAGGATGCAGGTAGGAGCTAGCCCAGGCTACGGAGATAGCTCTAGGCTGGGATGCAGAATTGGTTTCTATCTAGCTCTACTGATGACTCAAGTCATACAGGCCTCTTCTTTGCTCTCTATACAACAGAAGTGATGAGTTGGTGGCTCAAACCTGTATTCCAAGCACTTGGGAGACTAAATCAGGAGAATTGCCCTGGGTTCAAGGCCAGCCTGGGCTAGGGTGAATGAATCCCTGTCTCTAAAAAACAAAACAGGGCTGCTTGCTGCTTTCACTTGTCCCTACTCATGTATGCTGCCTTGGGTTCTGTTGTCACTGGTCACTTATAATAGAAGCCCCTGCCCTCCCACCACTTGATTTAACTGGCCTTCCCTCCTAAGTGGTCTCCCTCTGAGCCCAGACCTATGCAGTCAATTTAGCTTGACTGCAGATAGTCAGGCTGCCTGTGCCAACTCCTCCCAAGTGGCAGTCTCCTTGCCTGAGTCACCATTCTGCATCCCGAGACATTTGGGGACTCTTCCCTAGTATACCTCTAGGACATTCTTCCCAGTATTAGTGCTGCCTGCCTTCCATCTCCACCAGACCACAAAGGTTGTGGGAATCCAGTTCAGTCCCTGCTAGGGAGGAGAGTGATTTTGCTCCACATGTCCACACTGGGAGCCTCTGGGCACCTGCTGTAGGAACATGTGGTATTTCAACCAAACTCCCAACAGCTGTGTAGGCTGAGGACTTTTGTTTGTTTGTTTTTAATGTCTATGCGTAGTATTTATCTGTGTGTCTGTGGGCACACACTACAGCATGCACACAGAGGTCAGAGGACAACCTGCAGGAGTTGGTTCCCTCAGCCTACCATGTGGGACCCAGGGACTAAACTCGGGTTGTCAGGCTTAGTGGCAGGAGCCTTTACCCACGGATTCCTCTCACCAGCCCTACTTTATTTTTTGAGACAGGGTTTTACTCTAGCCCAGGCTGGCCTTGAACTCATGGCAGTGTTCCTATGTTAGGAATACAGATATGAGCCACGTCCTCCAGCTGGAACCTTGTACAAGACCCTAGGTACCACTAACAAACCTGCAATGAGCAGGCCACAATGGCAAAGAGTGGGCTCTGCAGCACTGTGGAAATTGATGGTGAGGACTCAGGGGTCTCCAAGTCTCAGTAGGTCACCAAGAAGAGCTTCCTGCAGTTTAGAGCTATGCAGCCCAGGAGGCTATATAGATGACACAGTAGAACTGCATGTCTGACTCAGTGTGGGACATCACTGGACCTGCAGATGGCTGGAAGAACACTGGCTATAAGAAATGTTGGGATGAGGAACTGTTAACATATCTTGAATTGCTGAACTTCTCCGAGCCTTTACTGTGTTAGCGGGCACTGTGTGAACTAAAAGACAGTAAGTACGCTATGCTTTCCAAGCTTATTTGAGTCCTCATTTCCCCCAGATGCTCACAAAGGAGGGGTGGTCATTCGACAGTGGGGCTGCACTTTCTGGCTCGTTCTATTCTCAGAGAAAAGGGGAAAGCTGTTTTAAGAATCTGAATTAAATGATATGAGGCAGCCTCGTTTCCCTGGTGTGGAGGGAGTGGGGTACAAAGACTGCCCAGGACCGGCTGAGAAAAACCCTCCAAGGGTCCAAGAGGTAATGCTTAACTCTACTTTTCCAGAAATGGAATTCCTGGTGGTTACACTGCTGGGAATTTAAATTCCAAGCAGAATTTGGCAAGGAAGATCCACGCAGTCCAACCCCCCTTCTGAGCCCCGCCTCCTCCTGCAGCACCTGGACAGAGAGGCTCAGCCAAGGAGTCTCTCTCTGAAGACACACAGCTGTGACCACAGATGCCGTTTCTGAAAGTCAGGTTTGCCAGGTCTCAGTTCAGAACCCAGAAGTGTTTTTAAGACACTACAAAGTGTCCATGTCCCACTTGAAAGTCACCTCCTGGAACTTGTCCTGCCCTTGTACGTAAATCCTTCCACCTTCCTCTCTGCTCCCAGAGCCAGAGGGCCACTCAGGACCCTTGGCTTATCTTCAGCTCCCAGGGCTGAGGTTCCAGGGGCACAATAGGCTTCTGTGCCCCCGTATCCTCACCTCCCCCAATGCCAGCTGCATTCATGGTGTTTTGTTATTGTGGAGGGAGCTGCCTGGGGGCGGTGCAGGAGGGGGTGGGCTCTTGGCACAGGGGCTGGTGCAGACCGGCTATGGTCAGCGGTCAGCATGCAAGTCACATCCGCAGGCACTGCCACCGGGACTGCCAGGCCTTGAACAGAATGGCAATGCTTGTGGACCCTGGGTCCCTTCCTAAAGTCCCCTCTTGTGACATGAAACTTGCTGCTTTTGCATCCAGCCCCTTGGTGGTGGCATTGACCTGGGGGCAGGGAGTCCTCACCTTCTCAGCTATATATCAAGTCACCAACTAAACCCAGAGTTCAGGAAAGACCCATGCCCAAGACCATAACTGGAGCTTTGAAAGGATTTAAGAGGTCAAGGACTGGGAGGTGAGATTGAGGGAGCCAGAACCCAGGAGCCCACAGCTCTCCAGCCCCCAAGGAAACCATAGGTCTTCAAGTGTGAAAAGTCCCTCTGATCTCCTCGGTCCACGCTGTCTGCTGGCAGACATTCTCTTGTTTATGTATGCCTCCAACCTGGAACATACCACCCTGGGTGACAGCAGAGATTAAACCTACTCAATGGGAAAGCCAAGGCCTGGAGAGATGGGAGCTCTCTGGAGTTAGATTACAAGAGACGCCCCCGCCCCCCATGGCTTCAGCTCCTCCTACACCAGGTCCCTTCTTGAGGGAAACTGAGGAACACAGTAGGAGACGGGTCTCACTGAACCACAGCTGGGATCCTGGAGGTTAAAATTTCCCAAGAGGATCACTGACTGATGGGCAGCAAAGAGACCACGTGTGAGGAACAAGGAGGACAGGGAGTCTACTAAAAGCTCATTGGGTCCCTGCTGGACCCCCGCTGGATCCCTAGATGAAAGACCCTCCCTTGAGTGCACTTCCATCCAACTATGAGCCTTGACAGAGCCCCATCCAGTCACCTGCCTTTCCCACAGGATTGTCTATGTCCCTCCTTAGCCCCAGGCTCCTCATTCCCACCATTACATAGAAATGCTTGGTAAGAGAACTAATCATGGGAAAGATCCAGGTACTAAAGAAACACTCCACAAACAATTCCCCAAAATCATTGGTCACCTGAAGCCAGCTCCTCACGAGACAACAAAGTGTCATAAGGAAGAAAGATCCCAGCCAGGACCATTCCTCAGGGCAGAGAACATGTGTTAGGATTTATAAAGAGCCTTGGCATACG